TTTATCCTCAGTCTATATTAATGATAGCTATTGGCATGTAGATTTAATTATATCACTTCAAATCAGATTTTTCTCCTCATGAAGTTGCATGGACATTGGCCTCCCTGATAGAACAAACGGTGAATCTTGTGTTCTCAGACTGATAGTTTATAAGTTTACATGCTTTTAAAATTTACATCTTTATTTCTGTTTCACTGCACACAGTAAGCTAGTTCTCATTCTCCTTTTTTTAATGGCAGTCTAGGAAGATGAAAGTTGGATAGCCACAATATGAAAACCAAATGTACTTTTTAATAGACTCAGAATTAATGCTTTGTGGTGGGATACAAAAATCCCTTTTCTGTCTTTATCCAATGAAGCATGTATTATTGGGTGAATTATATCAATAAAAGCAACTTGTCTCCAAACATTTAGCCTCTACTAAGCCTCAAACTCCTCAAGATTCTCTTATTAGTATTTTCTAGCATTTCTTATGGGAAAATTTTCTTTTATGCTCTCTCCAAAAGCCACTTCCAACATGCCACATCATTATATTGTCAATGAGATACTTTTTCAATCATAGTTTTTCAATTTCTCTCAAAATTTTAATTTCTTCTTCAATTAGATGCTCTTCAGCAAATGAATCCATTTCAGTCCTAGTATTTCTTTCTGCTCATTAGTAATATATATAAACTAGCTCTTTGGAATTCCTAGTTTTGAGGTATATAATGTTATCATCTGTGGTAAGTACTGGCACTTGAGGGGCTCACAGTGTGATAATGGGGAACACACCAGGGTCTCATTCCTGCTCTCATGTCTGCCCTCTGAGATCTGCAATCTCCTCTTAATCTCCTCTCTCAAACCTTCAACTTCCTGGCATCTGGTGAAACACAGTTGCCTCCTGAAATGACCGTCTCTCCCTCTGTCCTCTTAAATTGAGGCTGTGTCTTCCTCTCAGCCCCACTCACTTCAGCACCTCAAGGGGTTTCATTGTCTCTCCTTCGCTCACATTTCTACCTTTTCTTCTTTGCTGGTTTCTTTCCATGGACTTTCAAACACCTTGTAGCAGCATCATTTTGAGAGCAAATCCAAGTCCCCGTCTTGCCCCTCCAGGGATACTTTCTGACTTCTACACCTCCTTATTGACCAGACTTCTCAAATGAGTTATCTATACTCTCAAATAAAAGACAATTCCAAACTAAGGTAAGCAGAAACTTACCGCCCCTCCCCACCCCTAGTCCAAGATCTGCAAGTATCTCAAAGATCAGGCACAGAAAGGCTTTTCTTTTACAGGAGGAACAATACCAGCAAGGATATGTGAGCAAGTAGGGTGACCTGGGTGAAAGAGGCTATGCTATGACAGTAGATCAGAGAATTTTAAAAAATATTTACTTTTCATTGAAATAATATTGGGGTACCTCCATCAAGTATTAGCGCCACGATGCACACACCAACAACTCACCACCATCATGCTTCTTCTCTCTTTGTTCTTACCCCACACCCAACTGCTGTAGGTGTCCATTCTGTGGTCAGCTATATTCGCTTCATTTTTAGCTCATTTTATCTGACTGTTAGTTTAGTTACCTTACATTCCATGTTATGGGCACCATCCACTTTTATCCACCATCCACTTTTATCTTTCTCCTTCTGACTTATTTCACTTAACTTTACCCTTTCAATCTCCATCCATGTTGCCACGAATGGCATGAGTTTATCTTTTTGATTGCTTAGTAATATTCCACGGTGTATATATACCATATCTTCTTGATCTATTCTTGGGTATTTGAGTTGTTTCTTCAATTAACTATAGTAAGTAGCACTGCAGTGAACATGGGGATGCAAATTTCTTCTCAAATTTATGTTTTTTTTGAGTTTTTGGGTAGGTGCCTAGGAGTAGAATTACTGGGTTGAATGTCAGATCCATTTTGAATGTTTTGAGACACCTCCATATTGTCCATAAGAGCTGGAGTTGCATTCCCACCAGCAGTATAGGAGGGCTCCCTGTTTGCCACATCGTTGCCTGCACTTGTTGTTTCTGGTCTTTTTTGATGTGGTCCATTCTCCAGGTGTGAGATGACATCTATCATGACCTCAATTTGCATTTGTCTCATAAGAAGTGATGGTAAACACTTCCTCAGGTGTCTGTCAGTCATTTGAAAGGCTTTGGAGACATTCTTTGGAGTTTGCTTCGGTTATTTGTTTTGTTTTTGTAAGTTTCTTTAGTTCTTTGTATATCTTTGATATCAACCCTTGGTCAGATGTATGGTGTGCAAGTCTCCCTTCCCATTCAGTAGGATGTCTTTTGTTTTAATTATTGTTTCTTTCACTCTATAAAAGCTTTTATTTGTCAGTTAAAAAACCCTGGTATTGAAACAAAAATAGACACAAAGACCAATGGTATAGAATTGAGAGTGGGGACAAAACAATAGTGTTACTTGTTTTTAAGGCAAAGAAAGACAATTTGGAAAGTTTGTATGACCTTGTCAAGGGGAGACAAGGCCAGCATGCCTCTTAGGTTACATGGGGGAGGGTACTTCTTTGCATTAAGTCATTTCCTAAAACACAAAAGGATTGGATCATTGGTGCTTTCCCAGGACCACAGGGCTAGTAAAATCCAATGTTGTTGCACATAACCAAAGCCTGTGCATCTCCCATAACTCACCACTGTAGTCACTCTTGCTGAGATCACCAGTGAACCCAGTGAATCCTAGCGAATTTGATTTCTGGGAAGTCAGTGCCCACTGTGACTCCTCTAGTTCAGAAATTGTTTTCTTGCTTTTTCTCCTTCCTTTTGTTCTCCTTCCTTTTATAGGTTCTTTTTCCTTCACCTCCTGTTGACTTCCAAATATTAAAACTGCACAGGCAAGTCCTGTGCCTTCCACTTATAGCTCTCCCCACCTTCACTCAAGCCGGTCTCAGTTACCCTCCTGACTACCCACGCCGAGGACTTCCACACACATTGTGTCCAACCCCAGGCCTGCGTGAACACAGGGCGTAGCAGTCAGTTACTGCCTCAAGAGAGAGAGTCCTCAAAGCCTCAAAACCATCTTCCCCAACGGCAGACTCTTACCCCCACCCATCTTTCAACTCTGTCTCCATAAATGCCATCACCAGTAGAACTCTGTCAATTTCTCTAAACGTGATTAGAGTTTCCTTAGGTGGAAAAACTGGAAATTATTATCAGTTAGTGAATTATTTTACAGTGAATTATTTACTGTTAGTGAATTATTTACTGTTTTGCTGAACAGTAGTCACCAGAACACCATATGATATCTTCAAGTAGTGACTGAATCAGTTGCTCTGCTGTATTTCTCAAAGGCTGAGTTCTTTTTGAAGATGAGAAACATACGAGTACGTTTTTCTCATAGACAGTACATCAATTTTCTTGGGCTGCCATAAGAAAATACCACAGATCAGGGGGCACAGACAATAGAAATTTATCTCCTCCCAGTACTGAAGCTTGCAAGTCTAAGGTCAAGGCATGGGTAGGTGTGGCTTCCCTGGCCGCTCTCTCCATGGTTTGCAGCTGGCTGCCTGCTGGCAGCCTCTTCACAGGACTGTTCTGTGAACATACTCTCCTTGGTTATTCTTAACAGTCAAGACTGATTTAGATTTATTCTGCCTCTCCTGATGCCAATTTATCAGTTTCTTTGTACTTTAATCCACTGTCCAAGATAACCATTAATCCCTACAACATTAATTTAGGGGACCGAGCAGCCTCTAAAATACACAGCATGGAACTAAATTATCAAACGTGGGGCGTTTGATGTGTTTTTTGAACTCTCTGATGATATTCATACTAGATACAGATAGAGGAAACTTCTATTAGTCCAAAATGTACAAAGGAACCAAACTTCCCACCACATTTTTAAAAAATGTCATGCTCATAAACCCTCACAGTTTCACTTCACTTTAAAACCTCCAGTAGGGCCCTCCCTGGTGGCACAGCGGGTTAAAGCACAGCACTAGGAAGCTATTCAAAGCCGCTTCAGCATTAGTTTGATCCCAGGAGAGGGAGCCGACCCACATGGCACAGCAGCCCTCTCATATTGTGTCCACTGCTCCCCTCAGCAGTGTGTTTCAGTTGATCTGATCTGCCTGTTCTACTCTCCACTCTGACTCTCGTGAATCCTCTTATCCCCTGCACCTTTGGGCTGTACTCAGAGGTGCATACAGTTCTGTATGCATAAATAAATAAATCTTAAAAAACAAACAAACAAAAAGGCCTGCAGGCATGTCCACGTTGGAGATGGAGTTTCAGAAGAGGTGAATGTGTTGGATGTCACTGTTTCCGGCAACATATTTAAATACAGCCTTCCCCCTGCTTTATAAACTAGCGTTTGCATAGAAGGGGAAGTGGCTATAGCAGGTGATCCCTCCCATAATAATGCCACATAACAAGTCACCACAGAGGCTAAGCAGTGGGCATTTACTGTCAGCCTCGCAGGTCTGTGGGTCCTTTGGGCTGCAGGTGTATGGGGAGTTGGGGCTGCGCCATGTTTTATTCCGGGCACAGAAGCTGGAGGGACAGCAGTTACGAGGGATACGTTCTTCTCTTGGTAGTGGAGGGATAAATGAAAATGCTTGGTGAGACTGAGATTCTGACCTGTGCACTGTCACTTCTCTTGGCCAAAGCAAGACACCATCATCAAAATGAAAACCCGGAGAGTCTCATGAACACTGCCCAACCAGCGGCCATGGCCCAAACCTTCAGAGCAGTAAAGAACTGGGGTCAATTACCCACAGAACCATAGTTGAGTCTGGAAATTAAAACTTCCCTGACACTTAGTAGGTCAGGTGATAACCAGTGACTATACTGGAATGTCTTGATTGTGTTTCTTGAATTATCTGAGACTGGGGGCTCAAAGTTTGTTTGTTTGTGTGTTTTCCCCCTAGAATAATGCTCTAGAGTTTCGTTAAAACAATTACATATATCTCCAACCACAGCTTGAAAATTGGATCTACTTTCTGTCCCTACTTCTCTCCTGGCAGCATCTACTAATGTGCTTCTTTAAATTCAGCCCCGAGGTGCTGAAGAGCGAGCCATACGGGGAGAAGGCTGATGTCTGGGCAGCTGGCTGCATCCTTTATCAGATGGCCACACTGAACCCGCCCTTCTACAGCACCAACATGCTCTCCCTGGCCACAAAGGTAAGCAGCCTCGGGAGACTAACAGGTCTCCTGTGGTGAAAAACACTCCTTTTTGTCTTAATTAAAACTTTTGTGATGAAATTAGAAGCAGGCATTGATGTATTAGCCCCACGATCAATTGTCTTTGGCCCCTTTTTTCTGACCATCTATCATGGTTGTGCACATCTTCCCCTATAATTGTCTTCATTTATCACAGAAAATTATAAAGCTAAGTGTATCACATTCTTGTTGGTCTTTTCTTTTTAACTGCGGTCACAAACTACTTATAATCCTGCATGTTTTATTATCCTATACATATTTGCGATGAATCTGAGGTTAAATTTAAATCAGCCTGATGACTATAATTCCATGTTCACGAACTATTTCATTGATGTTGATGTTTTATTCAATTGGATGTTTCTGTTTCTGATTAAAATTTGTACATGAAGTTAGAACATTTACTGAGCCACTCATACTTGTGTTGACCACTCAAAGGTGTCAACATTCCCTTTAGTTCCTTCATGGAGTCTTTGTTTTGCAGATAGTGGAGGCGGTCTATGAACCAGTGCCAGAAGGCATCTATTCTGAGAAGGTGACAGATACCATCAGCAGGTAACGAATTAGTTTATAATTTCTAACATAAAGAGAAAAACCTCTTCTCTTATAAAAATTCCCAGTTAAGCATCTATGAAGACAAAAGGTACCCAAATAATCTGAACCTAAAATGTATGTGCATTGTCAGAAGTGGAGACCATTTGGAGCACAACGAAGTGTCTCAGAGGGAGTTGTTCATTCACTTGGAATATTACGCAGCCAGTAGAAAGATCATTCCACAGGCTTTGTATTACTCTGTGAAATGCCTATGTTATGAAGCAAGAACAATAAAGAAAAGCTTTGTAACAGTGACAGCACTGTAAAAAATTTTTTTGAAAATGAAAGGAAGGTGGACAAGAAGATATGAAATTGAAAAACACCTTGCTAGATGATAAAATTGCAGGCATTTCTATTTCAATTTTTGAGTGAATGTTATATTTTATAATAAGTTTTCAAAGAAAGTCAGGGAGACGTGCTTCAGCTCTCAGTATACCCACTTGAATGTCATTATCCCGATGCAGTTGCAACACCTGAACCCACAGGCTGTTCCCACGGATCTCTAACTGTCCATTTGCACTTTGGCCTCCAGCCAAGGGGAACTCTGCCTGTCCTGGCATGCACCTCCATTCTGGACCTTTGTCTTGCTCTTTTCCTGGAATGTTCTTCCCTCTGATACATGCAGGGCACAGCCCATCCCTTCTGTGGGAAATGCCTCTTTACCGGGGAGCCCACCCAGTGCCCCTATGGACTCTCAGCATTCCCTCCGGCCCCCCAACATGTAACACAAGTGCATGAAGACTTGATCCTTTTGCCTCTCTCTTCCTCACCAGACTGAAAATCTCCTAGGAATTTACCACATAATACAATAGTTAGTGCCCAGAGCCACGCCTGCCACAAAGTGAGCCCTTAGCAAATGCTGGCTCCGTGAACACACGGCTCTCATTTATCTGGCCTGTTGTTGTTTCTGGACCATCCTATGCATATAAAAATCCAGATTATTTCCTCGCCCTTCTAGCTGAATCAAATCCTAATTATTATTATAAAAATCGAAGACTCATCCCAGATCAGTATCCACCATCCAACCCTGACCCCACCCCACCCCCACCAGTTCTCTTGAAGCTCGGTTCAGTGTCTTTTCTAGATCCTAGGATCATGGCAATGGAATGTAACAGCTGTAATGTGTGGCCGAGCCCCCTGCTATAGTTTCTGCTACATCCCCTTGGTTTGGACTTACGGGATCCTCACACTTGTAGATTACAGCTTGACTCTCCTTGTTCACCCCTGGGGTGAGTTCCACTGACAGACTCTGAGCAAGCAACTTGACCTTTCCCACTGCGTCTTTGTTTCCTGGCCCAGTACAGCGGGGCTGTACTGCCACACCGTGGGCCAGGCGTGTCGATTACACTGATACGTGTAGATCACTGAGCGTGGATGAGAGCCGACAATTTAGCTTCATACCAGTACATTAAGATCACCCCATACTTTCGCTAACAGGTGTTGTTTTTACTTAATGTAATTTAGGATTCATTGTCTAGGATCACTTCACAAAACTTTTCTCTTTTGCAAATTTGGCTTCTAACCAAAATCAGTCATGAGTTCCATGCAATCACATATTTCATTCACTTTGGGATTTTAGTTACCAAAAAATAATGTTCTAAAAGAATGAGGACATAGATTCCAATTTCTCTGGGTTCCCATTTTCTTCAGGAAATTGATGGAAAAAGTACCTGTGGACGGAGGGTTCTCAGTGGTGGCTTGTGACTCGGCACGTGAGGCTCCAAGCCTTTGGTGTGCCAGGCAGCGGAGATGGAAAGGGTTGCTGGACTCCATCTTTAAATGAGGTGCTCTTTCCAGGCACATGTATTTCTCGCTTTTGTTTTGCTATTGTCTCATTTTCACTTTGCATCGCCTTCTGGGGTGGAGTTGGCGCAGTGTACCTCTGACTGTGATGTCTACCCCCTTGCCCATCTGCTCATGTAGTGGACCAGCACGTTTTGTTGCTGGAACTTTTTTTCCTAGCAGGCTTTTCACTGGTTTTAGCCACACTGAAGGTTTGGGGCAGAAAATAAATGCATTTTGTTACTCTGCCTAGCAGCCAGTGTTACTATTTTTACCTTTCAGTGCACTGGTAAGAGAGTATTGCCTGTTTACTTTTTAAAAAGGAAGAATGTTTCCTTTTATGAACAAAGTATTTCAGGCGCCTTATTTTTCTCTGTGCGCCTGGTTGCATAAGCTGTCGGGAGCTTGGTTCCAGAGGCAGTTGGGATGGTTAAAGTTCACACTTTCAGCTCATTCTAAGGGCAAATGGATCTTCACATTTTCCACCGTACCTTCACTCTTTGCTTCTGAAAACATGACATGAATACAACTGAATACTCCCACACCCTGTTCTTTCCCTCTGGTCTCTGGAGTGGGGAGCAAAGTAAGCAACTTGGGTAAGAATATGTCATTGCCACTCAGGCTTCACAAGCTGTGACCAGAAACAACCCCTACCTTCAAACCTCCTGTACTTGGGCCCAAGACTCTGCATTTGAGGTCTTCAAATTCTTTGATTTCATCTTTGAATGTGTGTGTGTGTGTTGAAGTGAAATCTCATCAGAGAAGGTGTGTGGGTGGGGGGCTCGGGGTCTCAGTTCATATGTGGTCCCTCATGCTCCCATCTCTTGTCACGGGTTCTTAGACATGTACCCCCAAGTCCTGGGTTCCCACCTGGTGTCCAACTCTTTCTGTCCAGTTCCTGCTGCTGCCCTCTGCTGGTCTGTGTCAGCAGTAAATGCAGGTGAGATTAGGGTGGGAATGGAGCTTGGGCCTTGCTTGCCTCCTGCCGAAGGGCAGGGGAAGTAAAAAGAAGGCTGTTTCTGTCCAGACTCACAGCACTGTGATGTGTTTGATGGGCAAGTCAGTGGAGGTCTCTTGCCCATCTTCAATTTTGGCAAATCTGCGGGCTTTGTGGTTGCAGCCTCAATGGGGGGCTCCCAATTACCACCAACTGGCCCTTTTAGGACTCCCATATTTGCAAGGTGTCCCCCAAATGATGTAGCTGGCTCTATTTTTGCACTCTCTTACCTTACTTTGTGAAAATAAATGTATAGACCAGACATCGTTAAATATAAATTCAACAGATGTGTTAGTGGATGTCATAACTGGAGGGCAAACCCACTGTCTTAGAAGTTAAAAAGAAATAGCATAAAAATAATGCATAAAATGGTAATGTCTTAAAAAGTGATCAAATTAGTTTAACCCCTGTGGAAAACTGTATGGAGCTTTCTCAAAATATTAAAATATATCTACCATATGAACTAGCAATTCCAGTCCTAGATGTCTCACTGAAGACTTCAAAGACACGAATTCAAGGGGATAGTGCACTCCTGTGTCCAGCACTATTCACGGTGCTATTGGCAGCAGCCAACGTATGGAAGCAAAGAAAGCTCCAGAACAAATGAGCGGACCAGGACGATGTGCACCTTACACAAGGGTAGACCACTCAGGTATTAAAAAACAAAACAACAGATGAACGTTTGCATGGAGGAAACAACAGGGGATTATAAGAAAGAAATCAAAAGGAGAAAGACAAATACTGGATGGTTTCACTTTTGTGGGAAATATAGAGAAACAAAACAAAAGGTCGGACAGAACTAAGTCAGTCACAAACTTTAGGAGTTTGATTGCAGAATGGAGACCATCTGGGACAATGGGGGTGTGAGGGCCTACGAACTGTGGCTGCCCCAGTGGTGGTGGGGTGATGTGGCGACATATACCTGAAGAGGTGTGATCCTGTACCTCTTGAGTTATATTCAGTGTTGTAAACCAATGTTACCTAAAACAAAATAAAAGTGGCATTTGCTTTACTCATGGTTATTAAACTCAACAAAAAAGAACAACAGCAAGTTAATGAACTAGGGTCTTATTTTTACTTCTGTTTCAAAGAATAATTGTGAGTTATCATTCTTAATTCTTTCCTGGAGACATCAGTATGGGTGAAAGTTGCACTAACAATAGTTGCTAAATCAAGCACAAGATGTGAAAATTAGATCTTTTTCTCCAAGTCCAAACACATTAAATTTTATTGCGAAGCAAACCTGACTTCAGTGAAGTTAGAGAATTTGAATTTCAAAGAATAGACAGAAATACTATGCTGAGTACCAGACGTTTTTAAAGCCTGCTAATCAGTGGTTTTCATAACTGGGTTCCTTGGGCATCTAGAATCACCTTCTCTTAGTGTTAAGCTGTGACAAAAACAGTACTCCTTTTTGTAGACTGATATTTCCCAGCTCCAAAAATCACAGAAAATATTAGCATGCAATGTGTCAAATTAGCCACTTTTAAAAAAGGACTGCAAAAGCCTTAAATCTCTACGTAATTTGGTTGTGTTTTATTTTTATGAGACTTGTTTTCTGAGACGCTTGCTCATCAAGCTGGGTGATATTATTGCAATACAGCTGGAAAAAGTCAAAAGGAAAAACTTTCCTCCTTCTGAAGATGCCTTAGGAGTTACCAGCAGGGCCTAGGCAATTGGGATCCTTTTTGTTTCACTGGCCAGTGAGTTGGCAGTGATGTTAGAAAATAAACAGCTTGCACAGATGACCTTGTGCACCTGAGAACCAGCTCCTGCTCTCCTGTAACTCTTGCCTGCAGCCAAGGGTGAGGAAAGCCCCTGCCTGTCTCCATCCCCAACCTGACAGATGCTTTCCAAGATGTCGTGGGTTCAAAACTATGTTTGGTGACCATTTCACCCTGAATGTTCTAGGGTGCGGGCACCATGCTGACCGAGTGGAGTTTAACCTTGACCTTCCACACCCCATGACATGGTCCTGACCTTGAGCTGGCGGCTTTAATTAGTTTCTCTTCTCTTAGATGCCTGACCCCTGATGCAGAAGCCCGTCCAGATATTGTAGAAGTCAGCTCCATGATATCGGATGTCATGATGAAGTATTTAGACAGCTTGTCCACATCCCAGCTGGCTTTGGAGAAAAAGCTGGAGCGGGAACGAAGACGCACACAGAGGTATTTTATGGAAGCCAACCGGAACGCAGTCACATGTCACCATGAGCTGGCTCTACTATCGCATGTAAGTGTGATTCTTTCCACCTCATCGCCATGCACTTGTACAGGCTGTTCTGAAGTTGTTCATGCTTGTCTTAAGAATAATTCCTCTTAGATTAGGAAAACATTACTTGATCTATGCAATATTTCAGAAGTGTATAATCAAAAATTTACATCCATTTTCATATTTCAAAATGAAATGTCAATGTGATGGACATTCTAAAGAAATGACCCATAATTTACTGCATATTACAGATCTCTAGTTTGCAAGCAAATAGATGACTTAGCAGTTGTTTAAGTTTCTATCATGGTCTTCACAGTAATAGCAGCGAGTGCTTAAATTTGATTTCTTCAGTATCTGATGTCACCTTTTGAGAATATGCTAATTTGGAGAAAGACACCATATTACCCTACAGGTTGTTTTATTAGTCTGTGTAATTGCTTTTGTGACTACTTGTGCTGGTAATAATGTGCTGAGCTGCAAACTGGAATATCTGCTTTTATCTTTCTTGCCAATAATCTTTCAATTATTTTAATATTTATGTTTGTTTCTGAGCATAGCTTGTAAAGGGGTGCCCGTGCTACAAATTTCCACACGTGATTCCAGTGATGCGCTGGTTGCTGTTTCTTAATCTCTTTCCTTTCTACCTTTGCTATTTCCTGACCCATTATCCATCCTCAAACAGGGATTGAGTAAGCACATCCAGCCTGGGGGTGAAACTAACATAATGGGGCCATGACAACCATTCTTGATCAGGGTACCTGGTCACTAAATTCTTTTCCTGGATTCTAAGGAGGTGCTCTGCTTTAGCTGGGCAAATTATAGAAGCTGATCTCAAAGAAGAGGCAGTTCTGATTTCTTAACTAATAGCATTTCCCACAAACTCCTTTAAAAAAAAATTGAAGGAAAGTGCTACTTTTTGGCAAATTTATATTGAAGTGTATGGAATCTAGAAGGTGAGGATGCAATATATTTTTCTTTTGGTGGAAAACCTCCACCTTCGTGGCCTTGAGTGCTGAGCTCCGCTGTTAATTTCGCAGGACAGCTCTAGTGGGCCTCTCCCGGCTCAGTGTGTAGGCGCCTGTAACTCAGGTGGGGCGTTCTCGCGAGCCCAGTTACCTCATATGCAGGGATTTAACTTTGTTATTTTTGCTACCTGGTTTTGTAAATACTAGGCAATAAGAGAAACACATTATCCCCTGGTTGCCATGTTACATTCCTATGATCCCAATGCAAGAGATTTAGCTATTTAGCTCCCATATTTGGGGCCTTCTATTAGATTCTGCCCTGTGAAGCTGCTTAACCAGTGTTCCCGTTGAGTGTAAGAGCTGGTTTATGCTACTCATGCAGCCGATGTGGGAGTGGGTGGAGTCAGCTTGTAAACCTAACAGCAGAAGTCTGCTCGTCATTAGCCGAGCACGTTAAGAAAGGACCGTTTTGTCTGTTTTTACTCCTCGACTTTTTAAAAATAACCCCCCTTTGTTTATTTCCTGCAGTTAGTAAAGAGAATGATGTAATACCCATGGCTGAGTTTCAACAATGTGCTACTTGGGACCAATCTTGCATCATCTCCGTGTCCTCCATCCCCAAACCCTCTCCCTATCACCCCTCCATTTTGAAGCAAAATCAAGACACCATACCGGTCATCTGTCAATAGTTCAATATGCATTTGGAGGGCCTTTTTGACTGTAGAAATCTAGCTCTCAGGCCATGACTAGATAAAACCAAAGGATGTAGTTTTGAAGATTCAGAGGTTTTGTACTCACCTGTAAATTAGGGGAAAGGATCACTTGCTGTTGAGGATAAAGATTAAACAGGTAAATGTGTGATTATAAATTAAACAGTGAGATAAAAATTGTAAGGTAGCATCAATTATCGAAATGAGTGATGGTTGTGTTAGAATAGTTGTTGATGCAACTTGTTAACCAAGTACTAATTGGCTCATTAGTACTAAATCTCTGTATGCAATTCATGCAGCTAATAAATGTTTTGAGGCCCGCTGCCAGCCAGCTTTAAAATCTTCACGGAGCACTCAGTTTTATATGGACATAGAGAGATGTGCTTTCTTCAAAGCAAAGTTCTGAAGAGGCATACTGATAATTTTTCATCGCAAGGACAAGCAAATGCTAACTGAAAAGGAAGAAAACACAGCTTTGTTTTAGAATTGAGAAGGAAATATGATTACATTTCATCACAAGACAGCATGCAGTTAATTGACATCAGTCTTAATCGGGACCAATTGCTATTTTAAAAAATTTATATCTACCCTCTCGTTGACAGAAAAAAAATTATAGGTGTAAAGTTTTATGTCTTTTATTTCTTAAGCAGAACTATAGCATTATGGTTGTTTCATTTGTCAAATATAGAGGGATATTCTCCCAGAACAGTTAATATCAATAACACAATTACATGGTCGAGTGATAGATAATAGCTCAGGAAAGAGAAATAAGTAGGTTCAGTAGAACCTGATAGAATCTCAGCATTGATGAGGAGATCCATTGTGAATTACTAAAATTTTGCAAATTAGTAGGTAAACAAACAATTGATAAGAAATATTTCAAGGAACCTATCTCTTGGGGGAGTATGCTATTTTCTTTCATATTTTAGTTTATTGAGAATTACAGCAATTTTCTTAAAAAGCTAGTGAGGACAAGTGTTACTATATATTTCATAATACCAGAGAAATCATCACTAATAAAATTCACACCTGTGTCTTGTTTTACCCTCCATGAAAGTGAAGCATGACTTTCCTCTTGAAGAAAGTGCAATTTTCTATTTTTATCATTCAAAATAAGAGATCGTGAGAACAAAGTTAACAATGATTAGAATCCAGATGAAAAATTAAGGTGCAATTTTTTAATGAAAAGTATAACAAGGCCCTCCCTCCCTGGAGGCGCAATGGGTTAGAGCCCAGCACCGCAAGCTAGCCACAGCCACTTCAGTGCAAGTTCGACCCCCGCCCCGGAGGTGGTCTGCATGTGCAGGAGACCTCTCCTGACCCAGCAGTGTACTTCATTGATCTGTCTGTTCTGCTCCCCACTCTCTCTGGTGAATTCTCTCACCACCTCTGTACCTCTGGCCTGTACCCCAGCCCTGTATGCATAAATAAATAAATCTTTAAAAATAAATAAACAGGAAAAAAATTAACAGTACAAGTGAAATGTGTTGCAAGAAATTGGCTAACATGAGTGTAGGGTGGGTGTGGCAAATCTCAGATCCATAGGGCAGACTGGCAGGGAGGGCAGCTGGCGCTCTTGGGCACAGGCTGCTGTCCAGAGGTGCAATTTCCTTTTTATCCCAAAGAAGCCTCAGTTCTGCTTTGAATACCTTCAGCTGATTGATGCCATCCCGCCCAGGTTGTCTAGGATCGCCAGTCCCTGTGTGCCTACCACAATTGCCTGTAATCTTGATACATTTTACTCCATGCTTAAGACGAAAAGTAAATGTTCACAGAGCACATCCTAGATATTTGCTCTAAGCTTCTGGGGAGTAAAAAAGGAAAGATTTCCATGATAGCCTGATGTCCAACTATTGAAATGAGGCACACTTAGTTATCTGAAACTCCATCTGCTTTGGCAGACAAGACAGCAAGTTGGTCACTGATCAGCAAAGACTATTTTATAAATTCACAGGCCCATCATGACTCCATAATTGCTTTATCATGAAGTTCTTACTATAGTTTCCTAATGCAGTCTGCATATAGTTTCAGAAGACTTTATTGCTATTTGATATTTTTCTTAATTTCTCAAATAAAGTTGGCCATTTAAGCATGGCCCAGAGAAGCAACTAATTCTTATTTTCTTAGTGCTCATTTTTTAAAAAATATTGTGCTATTTATTTCTCTGAGTTGTGCTATTTTTATTGTACCATATGCCATTTGCAACTGCTGAGCATGCCATGAAGGCGTGTGTCTGCAACCCACTGCTGGAGAATAAAGTAAACCATGTAGAAAATTATGTATTTTGAAATGGCAGTATTTTGGGGGAACATCTTTGCTTTTATTATCTGGCTAATTGTTGGCTGAATTTCCCTTAAGGCTGTAAAAATGCAACAAGTAATGATGCAGTGAAAGAAGTATCAGGAGAACTCATGGCATGTTTGGTTCTATTCTCATTGTAGTTTGAGAAAACTGAGATGTGTGCCTCGTAGAATCCCACAAGATACATCCACAATTCACACATCCACCCTTTGTTGTGAGATATAATTTATATGAAATAAAGTCTACATACTTTATTACTTTTTTTTTAAAGATTTACTTATTGGGGTTCCCCCTGGTGGGACAGTGGGTTGAAGGGCAGCACTGCGAAGCTTGCTGCAGCCACTTCAGCTTGAGTTCGATCCTCATTCCCAGGAAGGTGACCCGCCTGCTGCTCCCCTCAGCAGTGTACTTTGTCAATCTGCCTGTTCTGCTCCCCACTCTGCCTCTGGTGAATCCTCTTACCACCCTTGCACCTCTGGCCTGTAACCCAGTTCTGTATGCATAAATAAAATAAAATTTAAAAGATAAAAAAGTTTTATATCTTTATGCATACCCCTGTGATTTCAGGGGTATAGGCCAGAGGTGCGAGGACTCACTGGAGACAGAGTGGGGAGCAGAACAGGCAGATCCACTGCAATACACTGCTGAGGGGAGCAGCAGGCAGGTTAGAGGAAGCCTCTCACACCATGTGGGTCACTTCCTTGGCCAAGGATGGAAATTGTGCTGCAGTGGCTGTGGATGGCTTCATAGGGCTACACTTCAACCCATTGCACCACCGGGAAGGGCCATATACACACTTTAAATGCTTAGTGCAGGAACTTTTGACACATGTAACTCACACCCAAAACAAGATTCACAATTTTTTATCAGAAAGTTCCCTCCTACACCTTCCTATAAAACTTTCTGCCTACACCTTCTTATAAAACTTTCTGTCCTACAAATGACTTTTGCCTATTGTTTGACTTCAAGTAGCTCAAGCAGTATCTGTCTGCTCTCTTTTGTCTTCTCTCACTTGATATATCTGTGAGCTTTATCCATGTTGTTA